TTCCGCATCCAAGTTGCACTTCAACTCGCCTTGTTTACTTGGCACTACACAACATATAACTGCAATATAATACTACGCCTTACTCTAGGCGTGTCTCGGTCATTACCGTAGACGTGCAACCGTTCTAGTTACGCAATATCGTTAACTCGGATTAATAATGCGCACACACTTGGGTAAAAGTCAAGAGGCATGAGGATACGACCGTCTCGTTTTGATGGTGGGAGTGGACGACCTCTGCTTTATCACCTGGGTACGTTAGTCCAGAGGCCTCCGTCCAGCTATGATCTGAGCTTTCAGACAGCCCAAGCTGCCTGCTGCGCCGCTCGACACTTGCCATTGCAAACCCTGCGTCAGGTACCTGGATAAGAATAACACATACGTTCAACGTAAAACATCACGAAGTTAAAGTTGCCAAGAATACACCCATCTTGTTTATTTAAGCTACATCTCGGATCCACCACTGTTCCCAGGAGTTAAACGTCGGAACACTGCACAGCTCACCGACAAACCGGGATGTGCTGGTGGTTCGCGGCACAAGAGAGGCAAACTGGCCGTGTGTCATGTGAGATGACGGTTATTGGACCCCAACCCACCTCACGATAAGTGTCTTGGACTGCCTGCTGTCGTACATTGCTCGTTCTACCGGCTCCTGTTAGGCCCGCGTCCCTACATGCCGCGATGCACGCCGCAGGTACAACGTGCATCGACTAAGCTGCCGAACCAGCCTTACCGAATGCTAGCTGGCGTAGTTGGCGGCATCTACGACATTCTCTCTTCTCTCTACCCGCTGGGTTGCTGTATATCCTGGCATGATTGGTAATGAGACGGCTGCTCGCTCAGGATATATCTGGATGAAGTCACCAAGCAACACAAGATCAGGACACGTCAGATGAGAGGCTGATTTGACCGACGAATTAATAATCATCCTCCATCGCCGTGGAACTCGATGTCGTCTTGTTCCCTTGGCTGTCTGCGGAATACTGGCATCTTGTTGCGTGCGCATTTCTATGGCGGGGCAGCCCAGCTTGGTTCGCCATCATCGCAAGAGTTCCTAGTGGACCCTCGCTCTCGAGTGTATAGCGGGTAATGCTTCTGTTTTCTAGTTCGTGCAGATCCGAGCGTGGAGCGGCATGTAACGTAGTCAGAGATGTGATTGTTACGGTGTAAGTTGAGGGGAGCCAAGCTAACAGAGTTGCGATGGGAGGAGTCATGAGCGCAGACTATACGAGAAGATTATGGCATAAAGGGGAAGGCCAACACTACCTGATCATACTCATGGAAAGAATCGATGGGAAACCGCTAGAATACCGTTGTATGAAGCATCCGAACGGCATCGGATCCGCGATGAAAGGATGTCTCCGAGGAAATAATGATACGGGATAAGCAATAAGCAAAGTGATATCGCTGTGTGGCTGCTTGCTGTACGGCGGGCTGGCAGGCTGGGCGAGCGTGTGGCTGAAGCTTGCGCCCCACATATAACCAAAAAACCAACCAACGCTATTCTTGCGCGCCTTCATCCTTGCTCAACTTTTGCGCGACGACAAACTACACTTTTGTTCCCCAACGCAGCTTTAGCCTCGTCCGAGTTGACACCTCTTTTCCCCGACATCATTTCATCGTTCCTTTTCCTACCGAAAGTCGGGCATCGACGAGCCCTTCATCTCCCACTAATCATCTCTCCGTCTCGCAGCCATGGGAAAGAAGAAGCGCGGCCACCCCGATGTCGAGGAGCTCCTTGCGCGCCCTTGGTGCTACTACTGTATGCTTTGCCGTACCGGTTTCGCGCCCGAGAGAATCAGCTAACATGTCGGCTAGGTGAGAGAGACTTTGAAGATCTCAAGCTCTTGATATCGCATCAGAAAGCAAAGCATTTCAAGTGTGATCGATGCGGGCGACGATTGAACACGGCTGGAGGTAAGAGGTCGCCATCTGATGCATGGTGACTTGACGCGACACCGTGGCTGACTTGCATTTACCTACAGGTCTTTCAGTACATATGAACCAGGTGCACAAAGAATCCCTGTCGTCTGTCGAAAATGCACTGCCCAACCGGCAAGGCCTCGACGTCGAGATCTTTGGCATGGAGGGTATTCCCGAGGATGTCGTCCAACAACACAACCAGCGAATCATCCAGAACTTTTACCAGGCCCAAGCAGAGCGGTACGCTGCAACCGGTAACCCGCCCCCGGGCCAAGGTCGAAAGGGTCCAGCCAAGAAGCTCAAGATCGAGACCGCCGAAGACATCAAGAAACGGCTAGCAGAGCATCGCGCGAGACTCGCAACCCAAAAGACAGCCATGAATGGTGGAAGCGCAGGTCACACACCCCGCGAAGGCTTGCCTGAGAGACAAAGTCCTGCGCAAAGCGCATCTCCGGGTGCATTCGTACGCATTTCAAGTGCCAACTGTGAATCTGACGCCCATGCTAATCGTCGTGGACAGAACTCGCCTTTCCCTCCGCCAGGTGGCCAGTACCCCGGTTTCCCTGCCCAGTCTGCTGTGCCTGGCTTCTCACCTCCGCCTCAATACCCCGGCGCATACCCGCCTCCGACCCTACCCTCGCGGCCTGGAAGCAATCTCGCCGCTCCTCCTGGATTACCTCCGCACCCCGGACAGGCTGGCTGGCAAGGCGGTGCTTCAACTATCGATGAGCTCGTGTCGGGTGCCGCTCAGCAGGGTGATGACATTGACCAGATTATCAGGATGGCCGAGGCGGGCATTAAGCCGCCGAGGACGTCAGAGACCCCGGCTGCTGCCGAAGCTGCGGCCGAAGGAGGGGAGAAGAAGTCGAAGAAGGACAAGGACAAGAATGTGAAGATGGTATACGATGACGAGATCAGCCCGGAGGAGAGAATGGCACTGATGCCGAAATATGCATTCATCCCGGAAGCCACCGCCGCTTGAGTTGGTTTAGGACAAGGAAACGTGTATTATTATAAGCTTCGGTACCAGAGGGTCAGTACCATCAACGCGCTGGGACCCGTAAGCTGACATGGCACAGAGCACAGCGTGCTGCTCTAATATTGTAGAGCAGCTTTTTAGGTATCAAGATAATTACAAAGGATGCATTTTGCTTGAAGTCTCGGCCTACGAAACATTCTGGTTGGGCCCGTAGCCGACGCTGCGGCCGCCATGCCGGCGATTCGAAGGTGAAAGGGCAGCTTGCCTGATACAGTCAAATGCCACTTGTATCACGACGTCGAGTGATGACAGGGAGATGGAAAGAATTATTCGTTCAAATCGAGGTATAGAGGTCTAAGATGACGTCATCATGCTATTACGTCTAGACAAGCTTGTGCTATGTCGCTGCCTCTTGCTGTCTTAACGCAGAGTCAAGCTTATTTCAAGCAACCAACCTTGAGCCTTGCGAGGCAATAGACTTAGATCAGACCGCCGACCATGAAAGCCTACAGAGATACAAGAGCGGATTGCAACATCTGGTACTAGTAAGATGTCGACTTCCGACCGTTTCTTCGTTAACCCTGAGACGCCTCTTCGGACTGTAGATGCGAATCAGGAGCTTCTGGCCAGTCTCGACCGCATCACCACGCATAACCCTCCGGTTCACACGTGCTCTACGGGATGGACGTTTCAAGGCCTGTACAGCGGCCCGACCTCGGTCGCGTACCTGTTCTACCGACTGTCGCAGAAATTCCCGGACCTGGAGTTCAAGCAGCAGTCACTCTTCGACTGGGCCGAGGCGTATCTTGCTCTGGGAATCCGTCTTAAGAAGAAGACGCCCGACCCGAACCACTGCGGCATCGCGAACGAGACCCTGGCCCACCTGGCGCTGACCGCTGTCATGCAGCGGGACGCCCATCCGGTACGACGCATCTGCTCCTTCGAAGCCGCGCTCAACGCCGAGACCGAGCAGGGCTCCAACGAATGGCTGTACGGGCGCGCCGGCTACCTCTACATCCTAAGGCTGTGCCGGACGCTCACGGACGAGCTGGACCCCGGGTCTAGCGCGGCGGGCCTCGTCAGAGACGTAATCGAGAAGACGGCAGACCGCATACTCTCCACCCCGCGCCCCTGGTTGTGGCACGGAAAGCCATACCTCGGCGCCGCGCACGGCAGCACCGGCATCATCTGCCAGCTCGCGCTGTCCGTTCCGTCCGCGACGCCCCGGCTGCGGCCCGCGGTGCTCGAGCTGCTCGACGCGCAGCTCGCCAGCGGCAACTTTCCGTCCTCCGCAGAGCCGCCGCCAAGCACCGGCGGCGGCAGCAGCAGCAGTCGCGACCGCCTCGTCCAGTTCTGCCACGGCGGCCCGGGCTTCGCGCTCTCGCTCGCGGCCCTAGCGCCGCTGTGGCCGGACCTGCGGTCGCGCATCGAGCGCGCCGCTGTGGCCGCGGCCGCTGACACCTGGCGCCGCGGGCTGCTGACCAAGACGCCGTGCCTGTGCCACGGCATCGCGGGCAACGCGCTCGCGCTGGCCGAGGATGAGAAGCGGTTCGCGCACTTCCTGGCGTTCATGAGCACCCCCGACATGGAGCGCGCGGGCTGGCTGGCCGGGGCCGGCAGGAGCGACCCGTTCGTCGGGCTCTACACCGGAGAGGCGGGGCGCGCTTGGGTCTGGGGCCTGGCTGCGGCTGAGGGCGACGGCAAGAAGCTGTGCATTGGGTATAATGATATATAAGAGATAATCGGCGGTGGTGGGTGGGAGCGTAGTCTTATGTATTGGACTTCTTATGCATTATCACCTGTTTCACCGGTTACAGCAGCATTTTAGGGAGTTAAGCTCGGGGGACAAAATGACGGCTATGCGCTCAGGCATGCACCGTGTATAACATGGTGAAGATAAATGCTAGAAATTGTTTTGCGCGTTTTAATTGAGATAGGAATATAACATATGTACATTTCTATATTGAAATGAAGCTATTTAAAATAAACAAAAATTTCGTTGCAGTCATCTAGACGGATGAACTGTCGAATGAAAACTGTGTCGGAAATGAGAAATGAAGTGTTGGTATATAGTACAAAGTAGCGCTAGTAATTGCCATCAGCGGGGATAGCTCAGCTGGGAGAGCGTCAGACTGAAGTCAAAACTTCGGGATTCCTTGAATAATCTGAAGGTCGTGCGTTCGATCCGCACTCACCGCAACCCTTTTCCTTTTGCCTTTCTCGAGTCTCAATCGAGACAGCTGATTGGACACGCTTTGCTTTTTTTGCCCTGCGCCACACAACCGAAGAGAAGAAAAGAAAAACCCCACAAAACTGATAGGAATACAGGGGGGGGAGAAAAAGAAGAAAACGCCAAACAACATATGCCAATGCAATGCCCATACTCCCTCCCCAATGCTCCCCTATGCTGCCGTGCTCCATAATGCATATGAACATCCATATCATTGCTCCATGATCCACATGTGCCAGCCAAGCCAGCATATCTCGTACATGATCCATCCAAATCTCCATACGCCGTGCCGAAATGCCAAATCGGTAGTTGTTACAATGTACTGACGTGGTATATACAGTGTAGTGCTCCCCGCGATCAACCCACCGGTCATCTCCTTTAGGGCCTGCCCTTGTAGAAGACGACGTTGAAGCGCTGGTTGGCGGACTTGATGACGGGGTTGCCGTGGTAGTCGTCGATGTAGGCGGCCTTGTAGCCGAGCTTGCCGCCGAGGTAGTCGCGCGACGCGGGCACGACCTTGGGCTTGCCGTTGGGGCCGTTCTCCGTCAGCTCCGTGGCCTTGATGACCTTGGCGCCGGACGCCTTGGCCTGGAGCGCCTTGGGGGGCGCGTTGTCGAGGACCGAGGTGTCCTTGAACCCCTTGGACGCGCCGGAGCCGTCCATGGCGGACACGGTCACGGGCCCGTCGCAGCCGCGGATCAGCGAGACGTCGGCCCAGCCGGCGGCGTTGGCGCCGCTGTCCATGCCGAGCTCGAGCCAGGTGGCGAGGGTGTGCGGCTGGCCGTCGAGCATCACCTTGGTCGTGCCGCGCACGATGCGGCCCTGGAAGCCCGCCGGCAGCGCCACGAACTTGGTCTGGCCCGCCGGGATCGTCACGTACTTGAGCGGCACGCTGTCGCAGCCGTTGGCGAACACGAAGAAGTCCCGCGTCGCCGTGTCCGCGTTCTTCAGCTGCACGCCCCGCCCGTTGGTGTCGTGCGCGTCCTGCACGTGCTCCGCCTTCGTCGCGCACTGCGCGCGTGTCTCGAGCTCGCCTGCCGCCGCCGCCGCGCCGCCGTCGAGGTTGCCGGTTGGCAGGGCTGCCGCGGTGGCGAGGAGCAGGCTGAGCAGGTTGAGGCTGGATCGCAGCATGTTGTCTGATGGGTGGGGAGACTGGTAGGTATGATATATATACGTAGTCGGGATTCGCGGGTAAGGGAAAGAAGCAAAGCGCAGGGGCTTTTGAAGTTGCGAGTGGCACAAAAGAGATGGTGGTTAGAGAAGGAGAGTAGTCGAGTTCGTTGTCGTTGTCTAGATAGAACAGACAGCCATGATGATCGTGGGACGGCCATCTTATTTATCCTCCAACGACTCAATACATGGTCATGCTTCATCCACGACGATTCATTCACGACTCTCTACGTCAAGTTAGGCCTAGGACAGGAGGATTCACAAGCCATTAGGCAACTAAGATCTGTCAAGGGCACAGTTATGTTTCACGATAGGGAACACAGCACAGTTACAACTTCTGGGACATACGCTAACAGCTCCTCTTCCCGGGCTGCGTACGGTGACTTCGCGACCTTGAGCCAGTCGCAGTAGCTGTTTGGACAGGGGCTGGATTAGACGCCCCTCGTTCACCCAGCCTTGGTGATCCTGCTGGAATAGCACATATGGAGTTTATGTTTGTTCGGATGATTTGACGTCAATCTTTTGCTTTTTGATCCTGCCTCACGTTATCAGCCCGCTATCTGGCCTCAGGCTTCTTGCACCGTACGATACTGGTGACAAGGCCTGTATGGTAGGTCTGCAGATCCTCTGGAGAGAGGAAGAGGAAGATTAGAGGGAGTCTGGGGAGCTGGCGGAGCGGGTACGATTTCGGCTACATGGCCGAGGTAGGCAGGTTGGAAGTTGCAAAGCCACTTTTAAATGTAAGATAGGATAATGTCGTTGTTTATCTAGATACCTAATCTAGGTAGTTAGATGTGTTATATGTATTTGCTTCTAAATGATTTCTCCGTCTCGTGATGGCACTTTGGAATGGCTACCTCCTAAACTAACCCATTCATTTTGAAAATAACTACAAGTGCGGGGAGTGATACTAACAAAGATCCCGATGATTTACAACAAGGAAAGAAAAGGGAAAAAAACTAGAAGGATGTAGGACCATAATTCAAGCTACATGCCGTCATCGTGGGATTTTCAGGGACTTCCGTCGAACCCTGCACGCTGTCAAGGCCATCGTGTATGTACAGCGAGATGCTTGATTCTATAATTGGACTAAGCTACGGCAGGGGCACAGGGGTATATCTCAAAATAAACTCCACGTGTCGGATCGTTCCGTGATTGGCCGGGTCCGCCTCGCCGATCCTCCGTCCTCCGAAGAGGGGCGCGAGGGGATTGCCTATTGCTCTTATCTCACCTCAGACGCTTGAGCTAGCTACTTGTAAGTGGCTTGCCATCACTGCAGGCTTCTTGAGTCAGAATTTTGACTTGTTTGCAGCTAGATTGCTCTGTATTCGATCTCGCTACCGCCTTGTTACACACGGTTACCTTCTGCTACTTACATATCAGAATATACCAGAACCGTGAATTCTTACTTTACTTAGCAGCTACGATAGCAAGTCAGGCCAGAAGAGACTCTTCAATTCTTTGGTTCGTCGCCCATCTACCCAGCCTTAATGGTCATCTGTCCTGGACAGCCACCACCGTCGTGGCGGCGTCTTCCTTGTGGACCTCCGCCGGATCAGAACAGCCTCTCTGTGCATTATCAAAGGGATCTATTGGAAGACCTCATTTCGGGCTCTCTATATGCTGCTGACGGCTAGAGAGAAAACAGAATGCAGAGGAGGAGCTCGGCCAGATTCTCGGTCTATCCAACTACTAGTAAAACCAAAAGAAAACGATTCATAGCCTACCTACCCTGACTTAGGAATAGCTTTCTAGAACATCTGGATTCTTCTCATATCCCCCCTATCTAAGTCTAATAATAGCACTAACAATATTTCCCATAAGTACTATGTAATCCTTGTGAGACGACTCAGCACGGTCATGCCAAAGTCAGGCTTAGTTAAACATTTCCAGGAATCCGTGGACCTATATCTAGTGAGGATGGTTTAAGTATACAAATTGGTTGTAAACGCACAATACGAGATAGTATACTCCGTACAAGCTCGGATTTTGAGGCCTCGGGTGGAACAGCGTGTTAGATAGCACAAAGGAGTCGTTCAAATCAAAAACATATATATCTACCTGGGTAGGTAGGTAATAAGTCAAATTTATTCCTGTGGGTTAGACACTACAGTAGGCACCTAGGTACCTAGGTATGTTATAGGCTAAATATTCTACTTGAAAACATACCTTAGTTACCTACCTACCTACCTACCTAGGTAGGTAGGTACTTGTGCGGGCACTTTATCGCTTCCTAGCCCCCTTCAAGACAGGTCGTCGTTAGCTTCGCCCCTGGAAGGTTCTTGTTTAATCGTCTTTCTGACCAAGGACACGCTGGGCGAACTCAGACTCGTTTGCCTGTTGTGAACCTCCCTCATACAGCCCCGTAACCTCGACCGACGAGAGGCCAACCATCCCGAGACGGCGCAGCTCCTGTGCTGCTTCTTGCCAGGTTCCGTCTCGAAGCCGCATGTTGAACAGCTGCAGCTTTTTCAGGGTGATGCGATGTCGTCCTATAAACTCGACCAAGTCAGCCATCCTCACGATCGTGTCAGACAGCCTCAAGGTTCGCAGGCGGCGCCACGTGTGCGTCCCCAGAACCTCGGCGACCGGTAGCGGATCCGTCCCGATGGCGCTTCCGAAATGGTAGCGCAACTGCAACTCTTCTAGTTGCGTGGCGGAAGCAAGGACCCGAGCTATGTTACCTTCCATGACAACATCTAGCTGGAACGTAGGCATTATGCTAATCACGATCTTGCGCATGTGCGAGAAGGCGTTGCAGACGAGGCTAAGATCGCCGGGCGAGCAGACGAACGACGTGGGCAGGAGGCCATCCTTCAAGAAGCGCTGGTCAGGTCCGGGGGTTACGAATGTCTCGATCTCCCTCCCAGACATGGACATTGCCTTGCACATGACTTGGAAGCCGTAGTCGAAACTCCTATCTTTGTGTGGGCCTTCATCCATACGCAGTGGCCATACATCTGGTCCATACTCGGACTCGGGTAAAGATCTGGCCAACGGCCCCGTTTTCGTTTCGCCCGGGTACCTATTCACGATAATCCGGCGGACGTTGGGTATGTTGGCGAGAGCGTCGGTAATGATGGCCAAGTCCCTCTTGTTCTTGCGGGTCTCCTCCTGTTCTTGGAACCGACGGGAATACGCCAGTTGAACAGCTTCAGCCTCTCGAAGCGCACTTACCGGCAGAGTAGAACCAAAATACCCGCCCGTATGGACAACCTTATGCACAGCATGGCGAATGGTAGGGTGTTGAGAAATGGCAGAAAGGACCTCGAGGTCTTCACGATGAATGGACGGGTATACTCGGCGGAAGAGAAGGTCAGTTGCCACTACGTTTAGTCTCCTGGACATGAGGCGAACTGACTTCAGATTGATCTTGGAAATATCGTCCTCTAATATCGCTAATAAGATTTCTGTCGGGAAGCGATCTATCTTGAATATGGATGGCGTCGTCGTCTTTGTTTCAAACTGAGATTGGATGATTTCGGTGGGATAATTCTTGCTATAAAGAATACGTTATTCGATATCCTAGTATCTGTGGATGTCGGTTGAAAACATGAGTGGCAGGCCATGAAAGAAGCGTGGAAATTTATATCCTATTGTATTCTCACCGATCAACTCGGCGTTGTCATAACAAGGGAATTGGTTTTGAAGCTTCTTGGGTTCTCAATCATTGGTTTTCTCCCAACAGCTACCTACAGGTATTATTTATGAAGGAGTAGTTGGTTCCGTTAGCTCGTTTCCCTACACCTTAAGATATATCTGTTCGGTTTTGCAACAGAGCGAAGTCTTTGGTTTGGTA